GGGGTGTAACGATTCATCGACTACATCGATGTATCGATTTATATTCATATGATTCAACTACATCGATCTGTGCGCGGCGAGTTGGCCTTTTGGACAACATATATCGATCTAATATCGTTTTAAAATGTAATAAATCGATTGTATCGATACTAGGAAATAACCCATTGGATTTAAGCACGTCAGACTTTATATGCAGGGGTGCACATAACTGGTACGCAGATACGCAAGCGCGACAAATTACTACGCGCCTTTGCGTACTTGACCGATCTTCTCATCTAACCTTACACATGACATGTTGCTTGTCAACTACTGTCAGGGATGTCCAAAAAGCAACAGACATTAAGCAGCCTTTTTGGCGTTTCGCCACCTACAAAGAAACGCCAACTGGAGCCAGAGCCGAAGAAATGTGGTGCAAGATTTGCCGCTCAAATCCACATCTAGCAGACAAAACAGGTGCATTTTATAAAGGCTCAAAGAATTTCAACCATCCTTTATTTGACAAACATGAAAAGAGCAAGGAGCACACGAATGTGGCGCAAGCCATTGCTAAAAGCTAGCCGAGAATAAATGTCCAGTCGCCCACTTGCCAGATAGCGAGACAAGCTGAATGAAGAACAGAGGCAAGCTCTGTTTAATATTTTTCTCTTTCCATAAAGCTAAACACGCACGTCCCATGTCTTCCTATTCTGAGGATGTTCCTTTACTGAATGCTTTTTGATGGATCTGAGGACATCACAAAAACTGAGCAGGAAATAGTTTACATTGTGTCCAGCAACGGAGAGTTTACTTCGGACTTTATTGGACTGATTGAATTGGGTGCTGACCGAACAGCACAGGCCATAACAGACGGACTTGTGAGACTTTTCCAGGACACAGGCTTGGATGACTGGACAACAAAGTTGCACAGACGGGGCTGCTGTCAACGTAGGTATGGGTAAGTTTCATAATACCAGATGGTCTGCATGGAGGCATGAAACACTGTTAAAAATAGCAAGACTATTGCCAGCCATTAAAATGCAACTGGTTACCAGGTATTTATTTCAGTCACACTGGTTGAATTTTTGGCTAAAAGGTTACTGAATCGATTTCAAGTCACTGAATCGTTTCGGATCGTATCGTTCTAAATGAACCAATATCGTCCTTGAATCGTATCGACAACCACGAATCGTGATACGAATCGAATCGTTGTTAAAACGAATCGTTACACCCCTAATATATATTTATATATATATATATACATACACACATATATATACATATATATACACATATACATATATATACACATATACATATATATACACACATATATAGATAGATAGATAGATAGATAGATAGATAGATAGATAGATAGATAGATAGATAGATAGATAGATAGATAGATAGATAGATAGATAGATAGATAGATAGATAGATAGATAGATAGATAGATAGATAGATAGATAGATAGATAGATAGATAGATAGATAGATAGATAGATAGATAGATAGATAGATAGATAGATAGATAGATAGATAGATAGATAGATAGATAGATAGATACCACATGCTCGAACAGAGATGACCTGAGATTTTTTGCCTCCTATGATATTTTGCTTTTCTATGATTATATTATACCCTTTACAGCAGGGGCACATCCGGACAGCTGAGAATATTACTGTCAGATATTGTTCCACCTCTATTAAACAGGAGGCTAAAAATCACAGGACATGTCTATCCTGATGATACAAGTCAGCCGTCCTGAAATGTGTGTTTCTCTTCACATTTCTTCTACACATTCTACATCTCAGAGGCGATGTCTTTCCATAAGCGGGCTTCCTTCACCTTTCAAAGGGGCAGAGCTCCAAATTAAAAATACATTTAAATAATGCCCATATTATTATCTACTCACTTGGAACATGCACACCTCTTGCATTCAGGTGACCACGCATTAGCTTGTAGCCGGTGTTTGGATGACTTCTGTGAATTTCACTTACAATACGGTCTAACTCCTCATCATTCACAGCTGAATAGAGATCTGTCTTTCTGTACAAACAAGAAAAACACAACATCAAGTAATGTTACCTTAAACGTCATATTCTTTCCGAGTGTATGAGAGCAGCAATTCATAAACAGAAAACTCATGAATTTAGTGTAAATACCTTAAACTGTATTGTTGCATGCGCCTCCTGATGGTCCTCTTTGACACACCGAACATCGCTGCAATTTGAACTGCGGGAACTCCACAAAGAAGTTGATGCTCCAGAACTGCACTCGGTATGTCAAACGCCAAACGCCCCGGTCCCTGTGTGTGTTGGGCCTGAAGTGCCCTGGTACCAGAGAAGCGGTGGACAACTTCTTCTAGATTTGCAATCACTCTGTGGTCGATATCTTCGTCGGAAAGTGCGGAAATGACTCCAACAACTTCAATAAGTTCCTCTGCTTTACTAGCTACATGCTCTGGGTCAGCAGGTCCTGCTTCTACATCCTCTGCTAAGTTTAAAATGTCTCTAACCAACTCCCTGGAAAGTTCACGGAGATCCTCCATTGTCTCTATCCAGGTTGGCCTACTCTACTTCAGACCAAAGCAATGGATCAGACTAGATTCGCGTTAGCCCCGCCCACTGACTTTGATGGGTCAGTTTGACAGTTTTAAGTAATTCATGAATCACTGCAATGCAGGATCATGAAATGTAAATGTAAATAGTGAAATAATTATATATGTATTTTACATAAAATGAATCGGTATTTGAATTAATTAATGATACATTTAATTACACATTTATGTATTTAATTCTAATTTGAATTAATTAATGACACATTTAAGTAATTATTTAATGGTGTATTTATTTATTTAATTGAGGCACTTTTAGTCCTCCATATATCACTGTGCTTCATCTATACTGAACAAAAATATAAACCAACATGCAACAATTTCAAAGATTATACTGAGTTACAGTTCATAAAGGAAATCAGTCAATTGAAATACATTCATTAGGCCGTAATCTATGGATTTCACATGACTGGGCAGGGGCACAGCCATAGGTGGGCCTGGGAGGGCATAGGTCCACCCACTTGGGAGCCAGGCCCATCCACTGGGGAGCCAGGCTCAGCCAATAAGAATGAGTGGCCCACAAAAAGGGCTTTATTACAGACAGAAATACTTGACAGTACAACCCGCTGGTGAAGAAGCCGGATCTGGAGGTCCTGGGCTGGCGTGTTTACACGTGGTCGGTGGTTGTGAGGCCGGTTGGACATACTGCCAAATTCTCTAAAATGACGTTGGAGGCGATTTGTGGTAGAGCAATTAACATTCAATTATTTGGAAAAAGCTCTGGTGGGCATTCCTGCAGTCAGCATGCCGATTGCACGCTCCCTCAAAACTTGAGACATTTTCGGCATTGTGTTGTGTAACAAAACTGCACATTTTAGAGTGGCCTTTTACTGTCCCCAGCACAAGGTGCACCTGTGTAATTATCATGCTGTTTAACCAGTATGAAAATGTATGCACTCACTAACTGTAAGTCGCTCTGGATAAGAGCGTCTGCTAAATGACTAAAATGTAAAATGTAATCAGCTTCTTGATATGCCACACCTGTCAGGTGGATGGATTATCTTGGCAAAGGACAAGTGCTCACTAACAGGGATGTAAACACATTTGTGCAAAAACATTTTAGCAAAATAAGCTTTTCGTACATAAGGAACATTTCTGGCATCTTTTACTTCAGCTTATGAAACATGGGACCAACACTTAACATGTTGCGTTTATATTTTTTGTTCAGTGTAATAGCAGAACCAAATGACCTGGACTGCAGTTGAGATTACATTAAAAGTACGAAGGTTCTAGACGTCATCACGCAACAGAGGTCATCAAAGCGTGCAACAGAACAGTGGACTGTCTACACTCGGTTTGTTCTTTGTATTAAATCGTTTTAATTAAATCATTTTTAATCATAGATAAAGTGTGCATTGCTACGGATTCCGTGACGCAGTCAGCCTTTACGACTGGGACCGCAAGTGTGTGTCCCGGATTTCTGTTACGTAGCAGTTAGCTGCCAGCCATCGTGAAAACAGAACAGGCTAACGGTAGCAGTAGGCTGGACACAAGACATTTTTAATGACGCTTTTTTTCTGATAAAAACGTGTTAATTGCATCCGCCATGGAGCCCAGTTTCATAATATGATCCTATGTCCCAGCTGCAGTTTTGAAGTAATCGTGAAAAAACAGGCCTTATTTTAGGGCATTTTTCACCCTGCCAGCTCCTATTAGTTATATTGAGCACTGTGGCACCGAACATTCTATTCCCAGTTCTGCGTCACAACCAGTTTCGTTATTGTTAGCAATGAGACCTGCCCATGTAAACCTTGAAGGCTTACCTCAGATAACTTATTATTATTAGTATTATTAACAACAATGTTGCGGCTACTTGGTAAGCGTTCTCACTGTTCGCCTGTGTACACATTGTGCTGACCCGAAATGCTAGTGATGGCTGGCGCATAGCAATCAAATGTTAAACATTTTCTGGTCATTGTTTTTAAAAGGTGGACAACCTAAACAAAACGCATGTCCCTGTCCTTTTTTTTGAAGATGTGACCGATTTAAACAGCCAGAAGGCATTTTTTGTTTTGTTTTGTTGTTTCTAAATGTCTGCTGGGTAATTTGAAATGCATCGAAATCTGTTCTTTCACAGGCATCGAACTGAGCGAATGCTGCACAGGTTCACTGAGTTGCAAACCAAATGGATAGGTCTAGCTCATTGATTTGTAGATCTGATGCAGTTGCTACTTCAGATTATGAGCCTAGCAAGTGTCGCGAAAGAGGCATGTAGTTCCTGCAGAAGGCCACAGGAAGGAGCAAGATAGATATAAACCCATACTGTTTTTTTGCCTTAAAAACCCTAAACCTAACCCAAGGTATAACCTATTTTAGCCTTAACCCTAATTCTAGGGTAGGGTAGCCTAGAACACTTTTAGAAACTATTTTAGTAATAATATGATGTTAATAAATATCATTATAGTACTAAATAGCGTTTTCATTGTTATTTTATTTATCAGAACCTATGTAAGCATTTTGCTTATTTAAAATTTTTTAGTAATTTTATGATATTTATTATTGCATAGGCAGAACACTTGATAAACAAGCCATATACAGTGCATTCGGAAAGTATTCAGACCCCTTCCCCTTTTCCACATTTTGTTACGTTACAGCCTTATTCTAAAATGTATTAAACTATTGTTTTTACTCATCAATCTACACACAATACCTCATAATGACAAAGAGAAACCAGCTTTTTAGAAATGTTTGCAAATTTATAAAAAACTAACAGAAATACCTTATTTACATAAGTGTTCAGACCCTTTGCTATGAGACTCGAAAGTGAGCTCAGGTGCATCCTGTTTCCATTAATCATCCTTGAGATGTTTCAACAACTTGATTGGAGTTCACCTGTGGTAAATTCAATTGATTGGACATGATTTGGAAAGGCACACACCTGTCTGTATAAGGTCCCACAGTTGACAGTGCAGGTCAGAGCAAAAACCAAGCCATGAGGTCGAAGGAATTATCCGCAGAGCTCCAAGACAGGATTGTTTCGAGGCAAAGATCTGGGGAATGGTACCAAAACATTTCTGCAGCATTGAAGGTCCTCAAGAACAGAGTGGCCTCCATCATTCTTAAATTGAAGTAGTTTGGAACCACCAAGACTCTTCTTAGAGCTAGTCACCTCATGGCTTGGTTTTTGCTCTGACATGAACCTTCAACTGTGGGACATTATATAGCCAGGTGTGTGCCTTTCAAAATCATGTCCAATCAATTGAATTTACTACAAGTGGACTCCAATCAAGTTGTAGAAACATTTCAAGGATGATCAATGGAAACAGGATGCACCTGAGCTCAATTTCGAGTCTCATAGCAAAGGGTCTGAATACTTATGTAAATAAGGTATTTCTGTTTTTAGTTTTTTTTATAAAAAGCTGTTTTCGCTTCATCATTATGGGTTATTGTGTGTAGATTGATGAGATTATATATATGTTTTAAATAATTCAGAATAAGGCTTTAACGTAACAAAATGTGGAAAAAGGGAAGATGTCTGAATACTTTCCGAGTTAACTGTATATCCTAGTATGCATTATGAAAACATTTTAATATCTCATATGACAGTGCAAGTGGGCAGCCTCGGAATAGAAAAGACAAGAGATTGCATCTTCCACAGCCCGCCAAGAGATTACATCATGCAACCCTCACAGTTAGCAAATTTACCTCAACATGCCCCTCGCTTGATTAATTTCACAATTAATGTACTAGGAAAATACATTTTTCTCGACCAGAGGTTACTGAATTAATTTTCAGGATTATTGATAATCGTTATTGAAATAGTAATCAAGTATAATTTAAAAACATGAGAATAAAAACAGGTGAACATGATAAACATGAATCATCATTATATTAATTCACAGTAATCTGTCAAATGCTTTTTCAGTCCTTCCTCTTGCATTAGCAGTTTGGAAAGGGACAGAAAAAAGTGCACTCGGGAGTTTTCCTGTGAGAGGGAGTGGTGGTGTATCCAGGGAGAAAACGAATCTTCAGAAATTTCATTTGTGGTCGTCTGCTTCCATCTATTTGAATTATTTAGCAATTGCAGTAGTACTGAATAGAGTGTATATCCTTGCTAAAGTAATCATTACTCAGAAGTGCAACATCTTCTAGTTCATTTTATCACTTATAACCATAAAATAACTATTTTAAAGCATAACAATAAACAATGAAACTGACCTAAACCAAAAACACCATACATTTAGTTATATATAAAAAACATAAACTATTTATTTAGATGGGTGACATTATCTGCCATAGTAACACCCCCTTAACATATAAACACAGACACTGCACACAGACACTGAAAAGGAGCTTTTAAAAATACATCTGGTGGCTCCCAAAAGAGCATTTGCTTTGATGAGGAGTTCATTTTCAGGAGTATGCTGCCTGCCTGCCTGCCATCAGATGAGTCTGCCTGCCTGCCATGTCACCAGAGGAGTAGATCTGTGAATAATGAAAAGTTAATAAGTTATTACCACACTTTCACATAGATGCCTAGCTCAAACCACAACATTTTAAACACAAAAAGGCAAATGGTACTATATAAATGGTACACTGGTTGACAGACTGCTCTTGGAACTTTCAGACTGCCATTGTTTTGGGGAAATAGGGAGTTGTCTGTCTATTTCGCCAAATATCTCAAAATGCATGTATTTTTATGGTTTGAAGTTCTACACCATTTTAATCAGGATAATCTATTCTTTCTAATGATGTAAGTTTGGGCAGCGTACAATGCTGTGACCAATTGCTGGTAGTTAAAATGTCAAAAAAATATATACTCATGGAACTCTGAGGACGTCCCATTGTTTCCTAATGGGGACAGTCTGTCTGGGATCATACTGTTTCTACAAGAAGAAAACCTGTCCTCAAGAACAAGGTCAGTAATGCACCACTGTTCCTATATAGCCCATACATACCACTGATGCT